AAAAGCATTTACTATCTTGATAATCTGATCATGAAGTTGAAAAGTTGTACATCAAACCATCGTAAGTTGGAAACCATCTGTATCTATGTATGTATACACACTTTCATTACTAAAATATTGTAGTTGGCTGGGTGTGGTGGCTCACGCCTATAATCCTAGCACTTTGGAAGGCCGAGGTGGGTGGATCATCTGAGGTCGGGAGTTCAAGTCCAGCCTGACCAACATGGTGAAACACTGTTTACACTAAAAATACAAAAATATATATATAGCTAGGCATGATGGCGGGTGCCTGTAATCCCAGCTATTAGGGACACTGAGGCAAGAGAATTGCTTGAACCCCAGAGGCAGAGGTTACAGTGACCCGAGATGACACCACTGCACTCCAGCCAGGTGACAGAGCAAAACTCCATCTAATAAAAAATTATGTATACATAATACATATTTCACATTTTATATATTTATGTTATATATATTATATATTTATTTACATATTTTATACATGAATATATGTATATATGTATATACATGTATAACATAAAAAAACACATGTCATATGTGTTATATGTAACACGTAACATATACACATCATACATCTTATGTCACATATGACACGCACTTGTCATATATACTGTATGTCACATGTACATGTCTTGTTATATGTCTCATATGACATGCATGATATTTATGTCATATGTAACATATAACGTGTATGACATGTATGCATGTGTAATGTATAACATGTGTGTTATGTGTAACATATATGTATGACATTTATGTGCGATGTGTGACAGATGTATGTTATATGTAACAATACATGCTTGACATGTGTCTAACAGCATGTGTGACATGTATGTGTAACATGATGTGTGGCAAGCCTCTTATATGTAGTCATATGCAGCATGTAGCATGTATGGCATGTATATTTGACATGTAACATGCGTGCCATGTATGTTATGTGTGACACAACGTATAACATGTATGTGTTGTGCTGGCGTGACATGTATGTTTGTCACATGTAATATGCACGCATGTCATGCATGTTTGTTACATATAGATGCATTTCATGCATGCTGTGTTGCATGTGACATGTGCATGTCCTGCATGTTATGTGACACATACATACCATATGTTATGTGCCACAAATAACACGTCTTACACTTACATATACATGCCATACATGTTATACATGTTATATGTTATGTTTCACATATAACATGTCATGCATACCACACATGCTATATGTTACATATACACGTCTTGTCACTTTTGAAATGGCATCACTACACTGGGTCTGGTGGCTCATGCCTGTAATCCCAGCACTTTTGGAGGCCAAGGCAAGCAGATCACAAGGTCAGGAGATGGAGACCATCCTGGCCAACGCTGTGAAACCCCGTCTCTACTAAAAATACAAAAAAATGGCCGGGCATTGTGGTATACACCTGTAGTCCCAGCTGCTCAGGAAGCTGAGGCAGGAGAATTGCTTGAGCCCGGGAGGCAGAGGTTGCAGTGAGCCGAAATCATGCCACTGCACTGGAGCCTGGGCAACAGAGCGAGACTCCGTCTGAAAAAAAGAAAAAAGAAATGGCATCACTAATAAGTCACAGAGCTGCACAAGGCAGCCTGAAAGGAGAGCCTTACACTTCACAGATACCCACAGTTACTACATGCAACACTGGTGCCAAAGCTCTGTTGTTCAGGCTGAAGCTTCTTGGCTTTTTTGTTTTTGAGATGGAGTTTCGCTCTTGCTGCCCAGGCTGGCGTGCAATGGCATGATCTTGGCTCACTGAAACCACCGCCTCCCAGGTTCAAATGATTCTTCTCCTGCCTCAGCCTCCTGAGTAGCTGGGACTACAGCCAGGTGCCACCAAGCCCGACGAATTTTTGTATTTTTAGTAGACCGGCTCAGGTTGGTCTCGAACTCCTGACCTTGTGTTCCACCTGCCTTGGCCTCCCAGAGTGCTGGGATTACAGGCATGAGTCACCCTGCCCAGCTTCAGTGTGAGGCTTCTAACAGACATCCATCAGGGCGAACACAGGAGCCCCTCCTTAAAGCAAGGAGACCCAAACTTTGCCTCCAGTCAATGCCAGTGCCGAACTCACACCCCACCCCCATCAGCGTGGTCCTGACTGCAGCCCAAGAAGTAATCTACAAAGCAGAGGCAGTCACACCCTGTCCATATAAACCTCCTGTCACTCGCCATGTCCATACATCTCTTTATTATTCTGGCTTCTACACTTCGACGGTTTCCAAGACCAGCTCGGCGGTGGAGACTCCAACCCAGGCGGCACTGAAGGAGTTA